GCACGGTGAAAACAGCCACGGGAAGAAGAATTTAAATAAGCACGAGACGACGTATAGATACGAGTCTCGTACCAATTTAAATTATTTGCAGCCAACGGATTAGAAGGCATTGAAAGCAAGGATCAGATGACAGAAAGGAGCCCAAATTCATTATTAAATGTCTGATACGTTATAAAGTTGGTATTTAATAGGAATGATTGTGTAACGGCCTATTTAATGTCATTTATTGCTCATGATTATATCATTAAAGCTGAGGCTTTATTCCTTTACCTAGAATGATCTATAAAAGGAAGAAAGATCATCATTTGTAAGGACACGGAATACTATTGAGAATACACTGAAATACTTATCTATTTACCCTCTACCATTGTTCTCAAAAGTATTTTATTTTTTGTCTCCTGATTATCAGTAACCCGAATTTTTCTTTTAGCTTTGACCAAGGACTCAGATTTTTGGTTAAACAATAATAATAAGGAATTTTTTAATAGATAGATTTTTCCTAAAAGACGAGTCAAACTAAAGAAAGTTTGTATAGCTACCTGTTTTTCCCAATCACTGAGACAAGTGACAATAGAAAGCAGAATTGTTTGCACAATTGACCCCATGATTATTCCACTCCACATGCCCTTTGCTCTCCAATTCAAAACGAATCCCATGAGTAAAGAGGCAGGAATTCCAACCAAGTAATATGCTCCTGAATTCACATACAACCCAATATGTTGCCAACCACTTCCTCTGGCAACTCCTCATGTAGTGAGAAGAACGCGTATTAATAACTCTTGATTTCTTAAAAACAACATGTATTTTGGACAGGAGGGAGTAACTAGGTAGTCAAGCATTTAACTTCATACAGATGAAAAATTTAACGTTTGACATCGTTCATCTTAGGCGTTTAAAATGAGAGCTGTTTATTACCCTACAGATGAAAAGATTGATGAAAAACGATGACCTGATAATACTGCTACTACGGTATTTAGGAACATGGAGAGGCAAAGAAGAGGAGTAATTTCTTTTAGAAGATTGACGACTTCTTGTTCATGTGTGAAAGCGTATCCCCATAAATTACGCAACAAAAACAGAATTCCACTTGCTATCAGGAACTCCACAGTTGCTAGAGTGAAGACCGCACATATAGAATTTCTTGCTGCTTTTGGATTCCTTGCTCCTAATTCATTTGAAATCCGAGTGCTACAAAATGGTAATTATTGTATATAAGAAAGAATTTCATTCGTACAATACTAATACAAAATCCGTTGTTAGGAAGTAAACCTTGCAGCAGCACCAAAAGAATAGGATAGCTGGAAGTGTATTTGAGAGGTTGTAAGGCTGCATAATTAAACAATCTTATTCAAGGGTTCTGAATTTTTCTACAAATAATCAAAATGGGAAGAGTAAATATTGTAGAGTTGCACACCAAATAGATAGAACAGAAGTCTCTAGTTATGGATTTGGTAGCAATCCACACGCCAACGTAATTAGCTCAACTGCCCACCATCTCAAACTACAAAGAAGATATGAAAGTAGTAGTAATAATTTAGGCCTTACATAAAATTTCAAAACAACAGATGGAATGACAAGGAGAGTGAATAGTCAAATTACCAAACCATTCCTGCAGATGGAATGGCAAATTGGAAGAACTGCGGCATAACAATAAAAACATCCTTTGAGAAAAAGGGACGCGTCTTTTGACAGGTTAATGAATACTTCAGATAAAGCACAAGCAAGATTACGTTCAACGAATATGATAAACCAATTGCCATAGCTGCTCCACTGGTCCCTAACTTAAATTTGAATATCAAAGCCCAACTGAGAGGTAAATTAAAGCATAGCGACACTACTGAGCTCCATAGCATCGGAAGGATTAAACTTTGAGTCTGGAAATAGCAATTAAGTGACTGAAGAATTGCATAGCGAAAAAGAGATGAAATGAGCCAAATCGAGTATTTCCCAGCCTCAACAGAGATCGAAGGATCTTGTCCAATCCATATAAGCAATTTTCCAGTGAAGATCCATAGAAGAGAAACTGGTAAACAAAAGAATAATAGAAACATGACAGCAGCATAAGTAATGTCATGGGCGGCTTTCCAGCCGTGCCCCATGACCCCTTGGGCGCGCCCCGTGG